TCGGCGGCATTTTATTTATTTTACGAAACATTTCATGTAATAAAAGTTTTTATCATCATCGTTCTCGTTATCAGTAATTAAAAGGGCATTGAGATGCGTGAGTGCACGCGTGCGTATATTTTTGCACGTGCGTGCGTGAGTACGAACGAAAATCACAAACGTAACAACAAACAAATTCGAAATGAAATTTATGAGTAGGATCGATCGTTAAAAAAAAAAAAGAGACAATTTTCCGTTAATTTTTTTTTCTTTCTCTTTCTTTCACTCCCTCCCCTCCCCCCTCCCCCCTCCCCCCAAAAAAAATGCATACGAAATATTTTTTTGTTTTTTTATCAATACATAAAGTTTTTCTTCGACTAAATTCAATAATCGATTAATCGATTAATCGATAAATCGATAAGTTACGTCGATTTTTTTTTCTGTATATTTTATCGATTTCGCATTTTTATATATATTTTTACGCGCTTTCAATTATTATTATTTTTTTTATCGCGTCAATAATAATAATAATAATAATAATATTTAGTCTGAGTGATAACAGATAAGACATAAAGAGAGAGATAGAGAGAGAGAGAGAGAGAGAGAGAGAGAGAAAGAAAAGTACGCGTAAGATTTTTTTTTGTCATTTGTCCAAACGCGACGGCACAAAAAAACGCGAGAAAAAACAATTTCGTAATAATTACTTAATTTAAATAATAATAATAATTATCATCATCATCATCATCATAAAACTTGTAAATAATAATAATAATAATAATAATTAATAATCGAATAAATAAATCTTACGAAAGATTTTTTCTTAGATCGAAAAAAAAAAAAAAAAAAAATTTCTCTCGGGGTATCCAACCCACGAACCAAACAACCAAAAACGACGACGATCTAAACTTATTATTATCATCATCATTATCATCATCATCATTATTATTATTATTATTAATAAACCTTTTTCTTTCTTTCTTTCTCTCTATTATACGTTTCTTGTGTTTGTGTGAGATTTTTTTTCTTTTCTCTTTTCCAACGCGACGACGCCAAGGACACCGAGTTGAAACTATTATATAATTAGTTTCCGACAGGTACCAACGTTTTCAAATTTCAGGGCAAGGGGGCGTGAAGAGAGAGAAAAAGAGAGAGACAGAGAGAGAGAAAATTTCCGTTCCTTCATTGCATCAACACATCCTAAAATAAAAAAAATAAAAAAAAAACCTGATAATCAAACCAACCTTCCCTCCCTTTTCCTTCCCTCTCTCCTCCCCCTCCCTCCCCCCATCAACTTTTAATAAGTTAAATAATAATAATAATAATAATAATAATAATAATAAGCCAACGGCCATAGCGTGCTGGTCACACCGGTTCCCGTACGATCACCGAAGTTAAGCAGCATCGGGCGTGGTGCAAACTTGGATGGGTGACCGTTTGAGAACGCCACGTGCTGTTGGCTTAAAAAGAGCAAAAAAAAAAATGAGAACAAGACAAAGTAAGAACCAAAAACAAAATCTTGTTCTACTGTCGACCTGAGGCAGCTCGACGAGAATGTGAATTTCACTGCTTCTGACCCTGGCCACTCCAAAGATGTTAGTCACTGGAGCCCAGTTCAGGAGACAAATGGTTCCCATCGAAAAAGACGGACTCAGGAAGACCTTCAAGAATTGATGTGGTGCTATCTTATAATAAGTGGCACCACCGAAATTCGAGTATTTGTCCCTAAGGAATCGGGTAGAAACCTCGGATAAATACTTAAAAACTCTGACAAGTAGCCTTGTCGTGTTTAATGGTGGATAATAATAATAATAATAATAATTCCCGTAATAAATAAAATAAAAAAAATTACTATTAACAAACGACGACAACAGCAACAACAAAAAAATACTATGGCGGCATTTTATTTATTTATTTTTAATTATCGGGGGAATCCCCTTCCCTCTCCCCCTTTCCCCTTCCTTCCTCCCTCCCTCCCTCGTCCGTTCCTTTCGCATTAATTACCTTTGACAAGACAGAATATAGTCGATAACATTTGAATACAATAAAAACATTATAATCTTATCAATAATTATCCTCTTCTCTTATCAGGAAGGTTCATCGATGCCGCATCCAAAGGAACGATCACTCTTCTCGATCTTTTTTCCCCCCACTCCAACCCCCTTTCAGGTTTTAGGTTTTATGACACATTTGTTTAAATGTCAAACGAAAAAAAAAAAAAATTATTTTGCTACCGTTCAAGAATACGAAATACAAAAAAAAAGATTTCATAATAAATTCACGATCGAAATTAATAATAATAATAATAATCAATTGATTTTAATACCACTCAAGTATTATTAGAAATAATAATAATAATGATAATAATAATAATGATAATAATAATAATAATAATCAAAGTTCGAAATTCAATTTTTTTTAAAATTTATTATTATTACCCCCCCGTAATTATAATTAATTTGAATTGCTTTCCCTTTTTGTAATCAAATGTCATTGTTTCGAATTTTTTTTTAAACAATCCACCATTTTCTTTTCGTTGGAAAAACTGTTTCGAAAAGAAAAAGAGAGAGAAGGAAAATAAAATTTAAAAAAAATTGTGATTGACACGAGGTGCGAAGGGCAACCGTGAGTAAAATTTGAAAAAAAAAAAAAAAAAAAAAAAATGCCCACTTTTACGGCGGAGATTCGTGTTCACGAATCACATTTTTTTTTTTTTTTTTTTTTTTTTTATTCCATGGCGTGACATGGAAATATTTTCTCTCTCTCTCTCTCACTCACTCTTTCGAAAAAAAATTAAGTAACGCACACACACGTGAGAATGGAAAAAATGTGGTGGGAACCACCAAACACCACCACCACCACCGCCGCCGCATTATAACAATTTTTTTTTAATATTAAAAACCTTTAAAGAACAAAGTCGAACAATCTTACTGGAAAAGTACGGAAAAATACCCGATCGAATTAAATCCACGTGTACGTTATACACGTATGGAAATATTCAAAATCACACGTGCACGCACACGTGCACACCACGGGGATTTAAAAGCTCGTCGAAAATCAACAAACAAACAATCGCACATATAAATAATACATTCATTACCTTTACCCGCATTACCCGGAGATTACGTAATTGAGAAAATCTCGAACCGATACTTTATTATTATTATTATTATTATTATTAGTTTTCGATTGATTATTTATTAATTATTATTATAACGACAGATTAAATTTTTTTTTTTTATTATGTTTAAGAATAAAAGAAATAAATCAGCCAGCCAGTCAGCCAGCCAGTCGACCACTCGAACTATCAGATATAAAAAAGATAAATTATTTATTTTTTTTTTTGTTTGTAAAAAAAAATTTTCCTCATTTTCCTCCTCCTCCTCCTCATCTTTTCCTCATTTTCTTTTTCATCGATAATAATAATAATAACAACTAATTTTCAAAATTTCATTTGTTTTCTCGTCACAATTAAAACCAAATTTCCAACATGATCTCTCTCTCTCTCTCTCTGTATAATTCTCACGCGATTATGATTTTCATCGAATTAAAACACGTCAGGTACATCATACACCCTATAACAATACGATTCCTAATAATAATAATAATAATTAAACCTTAACTCTTCGATCAGATGCGTTCGACACGCGACAATTTTCGAAATTTTCCACCAATTTTTTTCCTTTTTTTTAATATTTTTCGACAGCTTTTTGCGTTCAGGTACGTTTATCACGACCAAGGTACGTTTCGCGATTGTCGTCACGTGATAAGAAGTCATTGTGAGTTAACAGTTCGGGATTGATTCGTTCGATCAAATCTATTAAAAATCCTCCTTTCGATTTTTTTTCCCTCTCGAGACTCTTGTCAACAAACAACAATTTGATTCCTATTTCGTTACGTAATGAAAAAATCTGAAATGTGAAGGGGGGCTGGCGGGGGGGGGGAAACAAACGCGTAATTACGATTACGTCTCGTAAACGTTTTATCACTATTATTCAAGTTTTTTTTTTTTTTTTTTTTTCGTTTCATTGGCATCCGTTGTGTTTTAACTTAATTACAGCTTTCATTAAATTTTTTTTTAGTTTCTTTATCATTGCTTAATTTAAAAAAAAAAACCTAAAAACAATTTGTTTAAATAATAAATTAATTAATTATTTATCAACACCTTATATCGCGATTTTCATATTACATCATTTTAAACGACGATAATATCGCGTGTGTTAGAATGTTGGCGCGATCTCGCGGATATCGTTGTAACTAATTCGACAACTTTTCCCTCTTTTCTTTCAACCTACGCGCCATTTTTTTATTATATAAAAACATTTTCAAGGAAAAAATAAAAAAAAAAAGAAAAGTTCGCGATGAATTTATTAATTACGCTATACCTTAGTTATGAAAAAGTAAAGAAAAAAGAAACCTGAGCTTTTTTTCCTGCCGCGGCAATTTTAATAACGTTCAAGTGTTGCCGGTTGCCTACTCGATAAATTTCAGGGGGGAAGGAAGAGAAGAGGACAAGGTGTCGTAAAACTTTGCCGAGGTAAACATTTACGCATGCAATTAGGCCACGTCAGGTAAACACGGAAGGTAAACGAACTTATTTCTGCTTTGCCAACTTTCCCAACACACACGGTTGACAACGTTTCCCTCCCCCCCCCCCAAAAAAAAAAACTCGTACAAACGAAAGTAATATGATTCCAACCAAAATGTCGATGAATGTTTGTTTGTTGTTAATTCGACACTGACTAACCCAAAAAAAAGAACAAATAAATTCGTCACATTTTCACTTCGATGCCTTTATCGTACGTACGCATATCGAAGAAAAAGTCTTCTGCTACAGATTTCCCTCAACAACAGTCAATGATGTAACAAATTGATTTTTTCACGGGAAAATAATAAAAAACAAACGCACACACAAACGCCTCGTTTTATATGACGATTCCAAAAAAAAAAATGTCTCCCACTCACATTTAATACATAAAAAATCTTAGCCTCATTTCCTTAACATCAAGATAACGACGTGGTTTTAGAACCGAGAAGGAAAGTGATGCTGCTGGAACCGTTCGGACACGATAAAAAAACGAAACAAACCTTTTCTCTTTTTGGTCGTCATTTCCGGATGCTATTTCCACGACACGACACACGTTTTCCCATACCAAAAAAAAGAAAAATTTTTCTAATTTTATTTAAATACCACCTACCTCTTGAGTTAATTCCACTTCGTATTGTTGACCCACGGTTTCATCTTTGACGCTTAACCACAAATCGTTGTCGTTCATCAAAACATCTTCCGGAAGTGACGTTGCAACTTCCGTACCGTTTTCCACGACATCGGATGCAACATCCGGAGTCGGAGTGGCGACATCTTGTTCCAAATCCACTCCCGTACCGTTGACGTTCAACAAATAAGCCGTTATGTCGTTTTGCGCATTTATTCTATTGTATCGACCCAAAGCGTTCAAGTCTTCGAACAAATCCCGTTCGTATTCCAACAAATTTGAATAATTAACGCACTTTGGATGAATGTACAATCTCCTATTGAAAAACGGATTTAAATTCGACCAACTCGAATTGTTATTCAAATTGTCGTCTATTCCGATACCTATCGTTTGACTCAGGTACCCCAAGTGTACGGATGGGTCCACGCGTAGGAGGCTGAGTATGATCGCGATTTGCAATAGCTCATCGCGATATATTTTTTTAAGTCTCATCATTTTTCCTTTTTTCCTTTTTTCCTTTTTGGTTTTTTTCTCCAAACTATTTTAACTTATCCCACTTCTTTCACTATCACACAAAAATCGATAATAATAATAATAATAAATTTAATTTAACGTACTTTTGTTTTTATAAAAAAACATTCTAAAAAAAAAAAAAAAAAAAAAACGTTTTTTTTTTTTTTTTTTTTTTTTTTTGATAATCAAATCATTTTTCTACGTGGAAAAATCTAGAAAAAAATTAACATTTCACCTTAAGTCTCCCTCCTATTTAAATAACACAAAAATAAGCTATTAAATAATAATAATAATAACAATATCAATCGTTACAAATTTTGGTATTATTTAATCGTGAAATTTTCGCGAAAATTTTATACGTGGATCGACGTAAGCATAATAATAATAATAATAATAATTTAAATACGACTTTATCTAAACCAATAACTATTATTATTATCATTATTTTAAATCGAATATATATATATATATATGCATTATGCATCAGTTATTTTTCTTTCAAATAAATTTAAATAAATAAAAAATGGGAATTTTTCCTAACGTATTAAAAGTAATTATGTCGCAAAACAAGCTTTTAAGGCTTTTTCCATTAAAAATAAATTTATTTCGAGTTTTGCGTTGTTGTTGTTGTTGTTGGTATACCTTCTTTCGGACTTGAAACCGGTGGATATTAATAATAATAATAATAATAATAACAACTTCATGTCGGTTGTTTAACTTATTGTTGTTTACTTAGCATAATGTTTTATAATTTACAAACTCAGTAAATTTTTTTTTTTTTTTTTATCGTTTCGCACGCTTGAAATCCAAAAAAAAAAAAATTAAATAAAATAAAAAAGGTTTGTAAAGTTCACCGACCCGAACGTCATTTGTGCGTGAGTAAAATTTTTCCGTTTTTTATATTCGCCTACAGACAAACCTCCCCCCAAAAAAAAATTTATTTTAAAATAATCATCATCATTATTTTTTGGGGGGAAAAAATTTTCTTCTTGTTGTTCGACTAAGTGACGTATTCAGTTAAACGAACTTTAACACACACCGGAAAAATTATAATTTCTCAATCAAAATTTAAATTAAAATAAACTAATTATCATTTTTTTTTAAAAAAAAAACAAATTTAAAATTAAAATTTTCCTCAATTTTTTTTTGTAATTTTTCCTCACTCCATAAATTTTCGTTCGATGGATCGAAAGATCGATCGATCGATCGATCCATCGATCGAACTCCGATAAATCCCCCTTTCCCTTATTTATTTTCCAATCACAGATCCCTTTAAAAAAAACTTTCTTAAATCCCGAACGTCCCGTATATAAAACCCCCTGGAAAATTTTTCCTCGTTTTAAAAAAAAAAGATTCTTAAAAAAAAATTATTATTATTATTTACGTTCGATTCGATGTGAACGAACGGCGAACGCCTAAATAAAAACATCGACGAATAAATAAATTAAAATAAATATAAAATGCATTTTCATTTGCCTTCACCGCATGCATCAAATACATAAATAAATAAATAAATAATTCAATTTATTTATTTGTTTATTTTTATTTTTCAAACGTCATCGAATGACGTCACGTTGATGGATTCAACGACATTTTTCCTTCTCTTTCTTTTAATTCGTTACAAAAAACGTGACCGATTTATTTATTTATTATTATTATTATTATTAAAAAAAAAGATTTCTCCAAGAATAACACACACACATTATTTTTTTTTACTCTCTTTCTCCCCCTTTCTCCCCCTTTCTCTCTCTCTCTCTCTCTCTCTCTCTCTCTCTCTCTCTCTCTCTCTCTCTCTCTCTTCCTCCTTTTCTAATTAAAAAAAAAAAACATTGAACTTAATATACTTGACACTAATTGAAGGCTACCACCGTATAAGATCACAAAGAAAGAAAGAAACATTTAAACTAAAAAAAAAAAAATTTTCTTTTTTTTTTTCGTGTGTTTTCCCAACCTGAACAACGTGACCAACAACAACAACAACTTCGTCACACTTAATAATTTTACTCTCGGTTTTTTATAATAAAGATCATCGAATTGTTAAATTATTAAGCCTTAAATTTAAAAAAAAAGTCCGCGTTTTTTTCCCTTAAATTTTTCTCTCTCTCTCTCTTTAAACCCTCCCTCACCTCTCCCTCTCGCCCTTCCCCCGAAAAAAAACCTGAAAAAACCACAAGCAAAAATTCGTGTCATTAAACGCTATGAATAAAACAAACGACAAACATTTCTTTCCTATTCTCTTACTCTTTCGATTTAATTTAATTAAACGCGTTTGTTTGTTTGTTTGTTTGTTACTTTTTAATTTTCTTTTCCCAACAGAATTTTTATAAATTACGCGGGGGGGGGGGTGGTGGTGGAATCGCAAAACGAAAAACATTCTCGTAAAGTTCTTTAACCTTTTGAACCTTAATCATCATATGTTTGTTTTTGCTACGATAAACAAATTAAAACAAACGCGTTTGTACGATTCGAAACAATTTTCAATTTCCCAACCCCGATTTATTTTAATTTATTTACTCAAAAAAAAAAAAAAAAAAAACTTTAAAACTTTGTAATACCGATTAATAATATTTAAATTTTAAATTAAAATCTTTCGACGACAATGTCTTTCATTTTTTTTTTTTTTAACGTCCTTGACTTTTGACCTCTTTACCAAATAAAAAATAAACTAATTTACTTAATTTATTGAAAAATTTTCAAAACTTTTCTCCCCCCCCTCTCTCTCTCTCTCTTATTTTTTAAAAAATTTTATAAAATAATTTTTTTACGCGAAAAAAAAAATGAGTTCTCGTATAACGTGTCACTAAAACTTTTCGTCGTGTCTTTAAGAAAAAATAAATAATAATAATAATAATAAAAACAAACAACAAAATCAAACACCGTTCAAAAAAAAAAAAAAAGAAAGAGTAATTTACGAAATATACCGAAAAGTACAACCGAACGTCAAACAACAAAATAAAATAATAATAATAATAATAATAAATAAATAAATAATAAAATAAACAAAGTAACAAACAAAGTAACAAACAACCGACAAATGAAAACGAAAACGCGATTGCTATAAAAAATTTAAAAGTGAAATTATCATCATCGTAAATCCACCGAACGAATATTAATAATATTAATAATAATAATAATAATAATAATAATAATAATAATAATAATAATCATATGGTACGATTACCAATAGTATATAATGGATTCATCATTTTGGCATTTCTTCAATGCAATTTTCTTTTTTTCTTTTTTCAACGTTCACTGTTTGTTGTTGATTGTCGGTGACATGTGAATCAGAAAAAAAATTTAATTTAGATTTCGTAGAGAACGCGTAATCATTGAAAAGAGAGAGAGAGAGAGAGATTAAATCGAAAACATTTTGAACGATGCCAAAATGTTTTTCTTTTTTTTTTTTTATTCTAAAATAATTTTTTTTGTGACAAAGGATTTTTGCATCGAATTTATATAAATCCTACAATAATCCACAAACCCTTCCCTCCACTCCACCCCTCCCCTCCCTCTCGCTCCGTAATAATTTCTTTTGTTTGACGTCATCAGTATCCCACAAAAAGTCAGCCCTTCCCCTTCTCCCCGACGAGTTATCAATTCGAGGAGTGATAACACCAATAGTAACGTTTTACAATTCTGTCGTAATACAAACGTTATTCCACATAGCAGACGATAAAAACCCAAAGAAAAAAAAACTTATATTTAAATCCCCGAAGAATAATATTTTTAAAAAAAACGTGGCAATAGATAAAATTTCCCATAACAGCAATAACATTACAACTTTTTAATTTTTTTTTACACGTTTGTTGTACTTAAAGTTTTTTTTTTCAAATTGCATTGACTTTGCCAATCCCTTTTCTCTCTCTCTGTATTATTAACTAATTATATTATTATTATTATTATTAACTTGTAACCGATGTTAATAAATAAAATGTGACAGAGTGTACGATTGATTTTTTTTTTGCTTAACTTGCTCTCTCGCGCGAAAAAAAAACTGTCAAATTGCATTTTAATTTTAAAATTTAACTTACGACCGCGTTTTCTGTAAACAATAATAAAAAAAAAAAAAAACAATTAAGGCAATAAATCGCATTAATAATAATAATAATAATAATAATTAAGCATTATTTAAAAAATAATTACGATAAAAATTAATTATATATATGTGTGTACAATCAAGGGCAGCACCACGATGAACGATAGGTTCATCATAGGTGACTACAAATTTGTATTCTTATCACTGATAACGACGACATTTTCAAAAACTAAAATTAAAACTAAAATTAAACTAAAAACTTTTGTGATGTGAAATTCACATAATGAGACCAAAAAAATACTAATGATCATAATGGTAATAATAAAAACAATTATAAATTTCTCAATTTAATGTAAAATAAACGTCACATGTTGTAAATAAACCTAATTATCTACCGAGATTTTAGTTTTAATAATAATAATAATAATAATAATAATAATAATAATAATAATAATTTTTGTGCTATTTAATATTATTAACTCGAGATTTATTTATTTTAAATGGAAATGCATAAAAAAAAAAAAAAAAAAAAAAAAAACACGTTAAGCACGAGTAATAAAAAAAAAAAAAAAAAAAAGAGAGAAAAAGAAGGTAATTCAAGCATTATTTATAGTTATTTGTAGTATCGTGGAAAGTGCAGGTCAATACTAAAGTTCTTAATCCAAGGTCAATGTCTTCTTTCTTAACAATTACACAACTGTAAACATTATGTATGGACCCCAAACTAATTATTTTATTTAATAATAAATTTAATGACATTATATGGTAAAATGAAAATTATTGTTCTATGAAAATATATTATAAATAACCAACCAATGAGTCGATCAACCAATAAATAATATTTATTTATTTTTTTTTTGTTACATTATTAAACAAAGATAAATGATTATGATGATGATGATTATGAGTTCAACTGTTTGTTACTTAAAGCAAATCTCATAAT